GCTGCCATGATCCTCGACGGCGAACCAGTGTGCCAAGTCAGTGTGCATTGAAAGGAGGGAGGCTACCGTTGGCAGTAAACGTAGGATCAGGGTTTGAAAAGGAGGTCTGCGTACTGGCAGTCATCGCGGGAAACTGCTCCAAGGAATGGGGAAGAAACCAGAGCCTAAGGTCGACGGGCTTTGAGCGCATGCGAATCTCCGTATAGTTTCATACAGATCAGCCACATCAGTAGTTAAGTTGGGAGGTCATATCACGTCGGAGTCACCCGTTATCGCGGGGTTGCTAAGGATATTCTGGTTTTACCCTAACGGCTGCCATCTTCCAGGCCCAGATTCTTAGGTGAAGAGAGAAGGTGGTGGGAAGACCAGAGGAGTAGGAACAATATATTGTTTACAGAAGTATTAGAGGGAAAGTTGCCACTTGGTCTGCTTTGGCGTTCAACCGTTAGAGGGCGTGGCGCGATAGCGTTATGGCATGAAAACTAAGCCCGCCAACTTAAGTTGTGAAATGGCTTTCCGAAAGCAAAATTCTCATAATTCCTGTCGCTGTCAAGTTAAGCTATGTTTAAATGTCAGAAGTCAGCCCGCTGAAGCCGTAAAAACAGCGGTTAGACACGCGTTTTTGAAGGTGAATTTTCACAGCTGACTATGTGAAAATTAGACTTTGTGGAAAGTTTGCTCGACGCTAAATGGCAGAAAAAACTGATGTCAAAAAGTGGCCACACGAGTCACGGTAATCGACTTTTGGCTGACCAAGAGGTCATTAGATAACGCTCAATGATAATATAGTATGTTTTCTTTCCATTATTTCCCAAAGTGACCAGTCGTCCATTTTCTTGAAGCTTTAGTTCCGTATGCGTTGAAGACTTTCTCTAACACAATACCCTCTACACTGCGATTCTGTCAAAAAGCTTACCCAATCAAATCAGCTGCTTGAAATTCAAAAGCACACCCAGTTGAATACGAACGGTTGGACGGAATATGATGTTGTCAGTTTGAGATGGCGTTTTGGCTCGAGAATCCAATCGGCCTATTCTCCAAAAAGAGAGATAAATAACTATCCACCGGTCTTAGGAAATCTACTCCATATATGTTTGCAAGAAAAGTTGCAGTCAAATTGTTGTGCCGTTTGGTTGGCGTGTACATGGGCACATTTTGTCATAAATAAACTTGCAGGAGCGTGTCGTTCTACTGGTTGCTGCCAGCGGTGCGCCAGATTGCGTTCTAGCTAAAACACTCCTAGTACGCAGAGAAGCGTCCACGACATGCAACGTGAAATTTCCTGTGAGGACAAGAAATCGTCCTCGATAGGGTATCCATAGCCTGCCATAAATTAATTAGGAAAATGTGCTCTGTGAAAGAGCGAAAACATGACACGCAAGCTCCAGGCGTCTCTGATTTGGAGACTTAAGACGACAATTCTGACCAAAAGTCTGTTCTTTCACTCAATCAACAAGCGCAAAAAAGCGTTGATCTTGACTGTTCGTACGCAACTCCTCCCGGCTATATCCCATGTGTG